CCCCCCCCCCATCTCTCCACCCCCTTCCCCCCGAAACACTAATTCTCGTCGGTTGAAAATTAATCGATAGCTGAACGCCCTCAAAACACTGGGATCATCAATTTCATGATTACCGATATTAGTCATTCAGTCATACTTAGAATTGTCCTTGTTGAAAGTATACTGTAGGTAGATTTCTATGCTTACCCTCTGCGACAGAACCAATTACATGGCATGACAGACTGAAGCTAAGAAAAGAATTGCGCATTTTACAGGTGGCTGGGAAACAACAACATCAAAGAGTTACCTGAAAACTTGTTTGCGGGGCAAGATAGATTAAAATATCTGTGAGTGATACTAGATTGCTTATTAAGTAATCGGCGGAAAAATTTCCGCTCAAACATCTATGAATAAAATCTGAACTAAAGAAATGACCAACATTTCAGTATGGAAAGCTCGCTTCAGTTAGTCCACTTACACCACCCGATTATCTTGGTGGCATATTCACCTGTCGGCTTTAGTGTTAATTGCAATCTTTGATCAGAGTCAAAGGAAATAAAATAGGCTTTTCCATTTAAACTACATAATCATGAAGAAAATATGAAATACAATAAGTGACAAACTGAACCTCTTCCCTAGCCTTCAATAAAGACAACATAGTCCAGTTTACCACATACTGATTTTACTTCTTTGGCTCCACTTTCTGAAAATGCCTTCTGCCGTGATCAATTCGTAGCCAATTTCTGATTTATTACACTGATAATTACATAGGTACACGAAATTATTACACGGTTCTAATCAGCTACAAAAGCTTGCATTTCTCATGTAACTCGTTTGTAAATTTGTAACACAAGGTTAAAATTACAAATGGGCTTTGATTGGCTTAAAAACAAGAGAAATCAACAAAAACAATTGAAAGAAAAGTTTCTTCCGCAGAAGTCAGAAATAGGATCTGAGAAAATAACGGCCAACGTGTTTAAAAACAACGTCTTGGGTTTGCACGTAAAACAACCCAGTCACAGTTAAGAGAGCTTCTTCGTGGCTGAATATGTGGAAAACGTAGTTTGGAGCCGCAAAAAATATTGACAATGGAACCGTGGAAAAAAGAGCCAGTGAATGAAACAAATCGCTTGAAAGTTTCTAAAACCAAAAATGGATAAGAATACGAGTTAGATAGCCTAAGAGGGATGATAGCCACACTCAACAGGCAATTAGATGTACAAGAATACGAGTGGTACATAACATGAGCTGGAGAGTTCCACTCTTCCCAGTAATTCTTCAACAAAGAAAAGAACTAACAGCTTCGCCAATGCGGTATGGGCAGACGTCCGTATAAAGCGCCAAGTTTTACCGAAGAAGGAGAAGAGGTGCTATAGAAGGCAGAAACTTTTGGTTCTAAAACTCCACACGTTCTCATTTCTTCTATGTGGAAGCTATTAATGCTGTCTTTTGGTTCCCGTGGCCGTTAAGAGCATCATGGAATGAAAATAGATGATTCAACGATGAAAAAATGACGTAGGCGTGGAGTTCGTTCCGATTACAGAAGGTCTTAGAAAGACGAGGCAGGACGGGCTGTAGAATAAGAACATATATTGGCAGCCACGGTTGTTTACTGCACCAGTTGGTAGAGAAAGGTTGCCGGTAGCTCTCTTTAAGTGGTTTGTCAAGCAAAGATCATTTTAGGTAGAAAGCATCGGACCATTGCATATTTAAGAATATGCAATGGTCCGATCTTTGCCTCAGTACGGTGTCAGAATTTCGCTTATTTTGATCTTCTTTTTTCCTTCTTTCTTCTATATTATATCACTTATTAATTTTTCACACTAAAAACTGCAGTGATCCAAGGGGCTTTTGTTGGTCTAAAAAATGTGTTCGTATTTAATTAAACAGTTATTTCAACAAAGTTCAATAGTAAATGATGTGATTACCAATACAAACTGTAATTCAATACATTTTGCTCAATTTAAAATTAAATTTTATTTTGTTATTCTCCCAATGTAGGCGGTTGAGCGGCAATCAGCTAGAAAAGCTATCACGTGAAATATTTCTTGAATTGTCTGCCTTGGAAGAATTGTAAGTAACAACCTAT